ATAGCTATACAGGGAGTTGACTCGTATTAATTTCCTGTGTGTGTGTGTTACCTTCTAGGTTAATTCTTTTTGATCTAACCTTTTCTCTAGTTCCTGTCCCCTTTTCCTATTGGCCTCAGCTGCTTTTAAGGTATCTGCTTTAGTTTCTCTGCATTAAGGGCAACAAATGCTACCTAATTTTTTAGGTGTCTTACCTATCCTCACCCCTCCCTTGTGTGCTCTCGCTTTTATCATGTGCTCAAAGTCCAATCCCCTTGTTGTGTTTGCCCTTGATCTAATGTCCGCATATGAGGGAGAACATACTATTTTGGTCTTTTGGGCCAGGCTAACCTCACTCAGAATGATGTTCTCCAATTCCATCCATTTACCAGCGAATGATAACATTCCTAAACATGCAGGTTAAATAGATAGTAGGAGTAACCTGGCTTACATAGTTAAGAAATCATGATTAGTGATATGGTGATTTACTATGTACTGTATGTCTTTTGCATTTGTCCCTCTAATATATTTAATTACCAGACCTCTTAATTATTTTGTTATTACATAGACATAAATAAGGAGTTAATATCCAAGTACATTCTGTCTCTCTAATGTCCTGTTTGAACCCTAATCCCATTCTTTCATCCTATTTTGGGCAACTGAATTTCCTGTTCATAAGCCAAGATCTTGGCAGGGGAAATATTCAAGAACCTTTCCCTTAAAGCTTTTAGGTTCTGTTTTCAATGAGATTTGGCTCTGGTCCCACTGTGAACTGGTTTTTCCAGGTCCCTGCTGTCTGCTTCCTGCTCTCTGTTAGAGTTTCTTTCTTCTTGGAATAGAAGCTTCATGAGACCACACTCCCAACACCTACTGCTTTACTTCTCTAGTGCTACCTGCATGACCTATCCGTTTGCTGCTGCTACTGTACCTCTGAGGATCGTAAGAGCTTTCTGATGGCAAGTGTGCTGCTAAAACTTTCTCCCTTCTATCCCCATCACCTTCTTCCATCACATACTACTGGTTGGAATCTATTTTAAAAACTCAGATTCATGTGTGCTTGCCACCAAGTTAAGAGACCTCTTCCTCATGCTGCCATATTCCTGCATTGCTACTCAGGTTTTTCAGGCATCTGTGCCTTCCCTGTTCCCATGTGTGAATATGGAGGTAATAGAGAAGTTCATATATAATTTTTAAAAATTTGCAGTAGTTTGTGTTTAGTATATTCAGAACTCATTTTCCTGGCTTCAGAAAGATTAAGGCAACAAATGTATTGAATTCATATTATTGTATATATATCTGAGAGACTATGCGGGTGTAATGATTAAGTTATAGGATAAACTCAAGAAAAATGTTTATAAGGATTTGCTAACTTATAATTAAACATAATAAAATTATAAAGTAAAACTTTAAAAATAAAGGTTTCTGCCTTCAGAAAATATTTGTTAGTGGTAGTATTTGATTCCTTTGTTGATTTCAATAAACTCCTTTGAATCAGGATTCTGTTTCTTTCAAATCCCATTATGACACATTTAATTCCTTAGTTGTCATTTTTGAGCTAAAATGCAAAACAAGTATACTTTATGGGCTTCTAGAGATTTCCAGTAATATGATAGCATTGGATACTGTGACTTGTAGAGTAATTTGATGAAGCCTCTTCAGTTTTCCTACATTTTGGAGATGTAATCAAGTGCAGTAAAAATGTATTTAGTTGTTTTTCTTAATTAGAATAGAGATTTCTGGGAGCTTGAGCATTTTTACCAGTAGTGGTCAAAAAGTAGGAGGGATAGATTTCAGTTGATATTTTCCCCCATTGCTCAATGATAGTTACAACATTCTTCAAATTTTCATTGGAATATGAAAGTTGGAGAATATATGCATATATGCAGTGAGTTTGTGTAGAGATTTTTCTTCTAATAATGCCCTCTTTAAGGATAGGGCTATGTCCCTTTTAACACAAATTCTGACTCACGGTGGCTGTACCTTGTGTAGAGTGAATATTACCTGTTGTGGCTGATGGTTATTTAAGTATTATTCCTTTGGGTATGTTCCAGAGCCAGTAGCTGTCATTTCATTTACCTATTCACCTTCCAGTTCTTATCTTCTCCTTGGTAGCAGAGTACTGATATCTTTTCCTTCCTTCTGACCAGATGCTCATCCAGGAAAGGACTTCTTCACCAGATAAACCATGATTCATAAACCAGTCAATCATAATGATCACACTCTGGCTGCAGGGTAGAAGATTCTTGGATATAGTTCTGATAAAATGGATGCTATCGTAAACATACCTCATGGACTAATAGGTTGCTTGAGCAGATTTTTGCTATTTGTATGCCAGGGAAAGCTGGGGAGATAGTTTCATTGAGACATCATCCTTGATGAATGTATTTGCAATTATAAAAGCTTACTACACAATGAGACCTTGGACCTTGTAGTCTATCACAGATGAGTGAGCTTTGGGATGGTCCTCTCTTCCAAGACATTCTACAGCACAAATTTTTCTGTCTTATTGCAGACTATATGAGTCAGATGCTTCTTTATTGTGTGGAACTCTTTGGGCATTTGAAGATGTTTAACTGCATCTTTGATCTCTAACCAATTTGTACCACTAGCACTCCCCAATTGTGATAATAAAAAATGTCTCCACAAATAGCCAAGTATTCCCTATAAGACAAAATAATACCTGATTCAGAGCTGCAGTATTAAATGTAGACACTTCTTTCTTAGAGAAGCATTTTGTCCTAGTTGTGGGGCAAACTACGTTTTGTCCTAGTTGTGGTTCTAATTACCATTGCCTTAGTCACTTCATCTTAGAAAAATATAATGAATTACTAAGTTCTTACAAGTTGGTCCTTCCAAACAAACAAGGAACTTTTAAATGTGAGATATATTTTGAGCCAGAATACAGCTACTATTTAAATTCTTCACCCTTCAAAAAATTCAGCAAAAAATGGTAATGCCAGAATCACATTCTTTAAAATTCATATATCTGAGGTTAAATAATCACAAATTTAGCAAATAGCCCCAACATGATGATGTTAAGCTGTCTTCTTAGTGAGACTTGACTTTGTCACTGCTAATGGAGTCAGCCAGGAATCCACACTCTGCCTAGACATCGGAAAGCCCACTTGTAAAAATAGTTCAGATATGAATGAAATCATGCCTAACTAAAATTGTTAGTTCTCATTGTATTTGTATTTATTTTAATTTTTTTTATTATTCATACGTGCGTACAATCCCATTGTATTTTTAAAAGAAAACATTAACTAAAATGTGTCAGCCCAAAGAATATAATAACCACTTTTGTTCAGATGACAAAAGTGTCCCAAAATGCCTGTGTTGTAAACATTCAAGTCCATTTTGCAAATGATCTTCATAAGCAAACAGGGTCTTTCTTTTCTATTTCTATCCCCAGAGCATTGCAGCATGCCTGGCACACAGAAGATGCCCTATACATAGATGATAAATGTTACAATGAGTGCTATTGACTCTGTGAAAGAGATTTCAGATGAAGATTTAAAATAAAATCAAACAAACATTTTGAAAGACATTTAAGTCACTTCCTAGGCCTAGACTCTTACAGTATTTTTCTCTTGTTCTGGGGACATATTGCAAAGTCCTCAGTTTTGCATTTGTGACCCTGATCACACCAATTATTCTTGTCTTTCCTTCCTCATCATCTCTCCCTTCTCTGCCAAACCATGTCCCTTTAGACTCGTTAACATGCTATGTATCTTCCTGTTATAGGGTCTTAGCTACTATTTCCTCTTCTTGAAATCTTGCTCTCCATTCTTTGCTTTGGTAATCTGATACATCTTGCAAGTCTAAGACTAAATATCACTTTCTTATAGAGGCATGCCCTGATCCTCTAATCTAACTTCGATACCCTTTCCATTTTTTCTTTCTCTTGATAATTCAGATTTTCAGTTCAGAGCCCCTATCACAATTTGCAGTTTTCATATACATACATATGTGTGTGTGTGTGTGTGTATGTGTGTGTTTATGTACTTCAAATCTGCCCTCACTGGATTACAAACTCTACAAGAATAGGATCCTGTTGGTTTTCTTCTCCAGTATATACTTTATACTTATTTGCCTAGCACATGATAGGTTCTGAGCAACTACTTCAATGAATACAGTTGGATTTGCCTTGCAAGATGGGTCTTATTTCCCTCACGTTGAAACTTTAGGCTTGGCATAAGTATTTAGTGAGGGAATGGGAATAGTCTATTTCTACTTCCCATCAAATGGCAGATCAGGTGGTATGGAAACATGCAGGCACCTGGCCAGACATTACACTACTACGAGTTACTTCTTATTTTTTTTTCATAACAGTGGGACTTGAACACAGGGCCTCATGCTTTCTAAGCAGGCACTCTACCAACTGAGCTAATATAAGTGACATATTAGCAAAGACAGACATCTTTGCCTTTCAGGTAGAAAAACAAATAGTGTAAAGTAACAAGGCACTTCTTAAATCTATTCCTATATAGGAAAAGAAACTCATTTTTAAAAAAGAGAATCTTACCTATTTATTTATTGCTGTAGAGTTTATTCACACATATGTATCAATGTAGAGTCTATCAATGTGAATAAACTCTAAATAAATACCTTATCTCTATATTTCTCTTTCTATCTATCATCTATCTAGCTATCATCTGTCCATCCATCCATACGTCTATGTATCTGTCATTATCTCTGCCTATCATCTATCTAGACTCATTGCTTAGTAGCTTTTGACCAATAGGATTTCAGTATACAGTACACTAATATACACTCCTGGATTGGCTTAACTACATCTGATGTCACAATTTCCCCATTAGGAAGTCATAATTTTCTTGAAAACACTTTATACTAACAACTCCTGTTATCTTGTTTCATTATAAGAAAGACAATTTATCAAAAATAAAAATGCTAGAAGGAGCAGCACATCTTTGATCCATGCAGACCTTTTCCATTTGTGTGCTTTAGTAATCTACTGCTCACAGCTGAAGCTAGAGCAGCTTTATTTTCTTTGACAACTGATGCTATTTTGTTTTTCATGTGTGTCAGTTAATAGACAAATGGAGGAATGAACCCACCTGGACTTACTCCTTCACCTCATAGGTCTATTCCATCCCGACTGTTGAGGCTTACCATCTTTCTACTACTTAGCCTTCCTGACTCAAAAGGAAAAGCAATATGGACGGCTCATCTGAATATTACATTTCAGGTGGGAAATCGGATTATATCAGAACTAGGAGAGAGCGGAGTGTTTGGGAATCATTCTCCTCTGGAGAGGGTGTCTGGTGCAGTGGTACTTCCTGAAGGATGGAATCAGAACGCTTGTAATCCACTGACCAACTTCAGCAGGCCGGAACATGTGGACTCTTGGCTGGCCCTCATTGAACGGGGAGGCTGTACATTTACTCATAAAATCAATGTGGCAGCAGGAAAGGGAGCAAATGGGGTGATCGTCTATAACTATCCAGGTACAAGTAACAAAGTATTTCCTATGTCTCACCAGGGAACAGAGAATATAGTGGCAGTGATGATAGGCAACCTAAAAGGCATGGAACTTTTGCACTTGATCCAGAAAGGGGTCTATGTGACTATCATCATTGAAGTGGGGAGAATGCACATGCCATGGTTGAGCCACTATGTCATGTCTCTCTTTACCTTCTTGGCAGCCACAGTTGCCTACCTTCTTTTGTATTGTGCCTGGAGACCCAGAGTGTCCAATTCTTCTACTCGAAGGCGACGACAGATAAAGGCTGATGTGAAGAAAGCGATTGGTCAGCTTCAACTTCGAGAGCTAAAAGAAGGGGATAAGGAGCTAGATCCAAATGAAAACAATTGTGTTGTTTGTTTTGACATATACAAACCCCAAGATGTAGTACGTATTTTATCTTGCAAACATTTTTTCCATAAGACATGCATTGACCCATGGCTTTTAGCCCATAGGACATGTCCCATGTGCAAGTGTGATATTCTGAAACATTAAGAAACCCAAAGAATCTTCTGAAGATGTAGGCTGATCTTTCCAAAGTTAGATTAGATGAATTCTCTTACTGCACTTTATGTAGAAAATTTCAACTTCAACTTCTCTATCCAAGTACTAAAGAGAGTGAAATTCATGTTTTAAAAATAAAACTCCATATCGTGCCCAGCTATTTAAACTGTTGTCTTTCTAATCAGTTCTAATTATTATACAATTTTACCCTTATCCAAATAAGAGCATTTGTGTATGCTAAAAACATTATTAATCCTTATAATCAAATTACTGTGAATGACTGATGCAATGATGAATTAGCTTTACCATTTTAAAGTTTCCTTTTAAAAATATTATGCCTTGTTTCCATATTTTGCTTAATTTGGGGTTTCTAATAATTTGTATCTATGCTCAGTAAACTTCATTGTAGGATTAGATCCTAATTTAATTTGCCATGGTTAATTAATTGTATTAATAACCAGGAAATCTGGTTTCCAAAGCTACTAGCTGGGTGGATAATATGTTCCAAATAATTATTTTAGATGATAGTACTTTTGGGTATGTAACTAAAAGTTTTAAATTACTATAGACCTCATTTAGGGCAACATTGCAAAAAGCCACCTCTGTTTGCCAAAGCTCTTTAAATCCTAGCAAAGAGAATCAGTTATGTCAACAGATTTCTTTTTCAGAAGTGTCCCTAGTAGGCACTTTTTTTCTTTTCCCAATGATAGTGAATGTCTCTATTTGGCATTTTGATAACAGAACAAAGTTAAAATTTTGTTCAATGGCTTTTCCATATTATATCTTTTGCCTCATTTGCTTCTTCCTCTTCTCTGGTCAATGAATTAACACCTATGTAACAATGAGAGGCTGAAAGACCAGGGTTTTGTTGTTTTAATGAAAATCCCTTTCTGTATGATATAAAAAGTCTTTGAAGTCTGACTTAGATGACTTTGTGAGTCTACACACTGTGCTCTACTTTTTATCTTTTAAAGAGGGAAGTTGTGTGGAAATGAAATCAGATTAACGGCCTCAGTGAGAGAAAATTAAACACTGTCAGCTGAAGATTTTATACTGATAATCTCTGTTTGTGCCAATTTTTGCTGGGCTTGTAGAGCCATTTTCTCTTTCCTGCCTCAAGTTACCACGTTGTTGATTCACATATCCTAAGTACCACCAGTTCCCTTACTCTTGGTGAGGTCCAGCTAAAGCTGTCTTTTTGTATGCTAGGTAAAGAGGCCAGAGACATTTGTGTTCAAGATAAAAAGCTTTGCCTTTGGTTTCCTGACTACTGAAAAAGAACCACTGAGATATTCTGCTAAGGAAGTATGTGGCAGCAAACATGGCTACCAGTGTTCTTAGTTCACCTGCCACTCTTGAGCTTTAAAGTCATTTGATGAAGGCAGAACTGGCAGTATATGTGGGGGCTTCCAGCAGTGATGTTTGAGTTTGGCAAAAAATTGTGTTAAACTTACCTATTTCTGATCGTTAACCTTTACTGATGTCAGTGGCTTACTTTAATTGTTGAATTTTGAAGTTGTTTTTTTAAAAAAAATCAATAGCTGCATTTAAAAAAAAAATGAGTTCTCAGCTAATACTCTTTAATGTTTTCTTCTCTACCCTCCCATTCCCACAAAATATGTTTAGGTTGGTAACAGATACCAGGGTTTGAAGAGAAATAAGCTTCCCTAGGTATTAGTCTTTTTTCCTATCATTTATATGTACTACTGATGTAAGTATGAGAAAGTTAGGTAGAAGTAGATTAATCAAGATACTCTACTTTTAAAAATCAAAACACAACAGAACTCATAAACTTCTCAGAAAGCTTGTATTAAATAAATGGTGTATAGAAATTAACAATAACTAAATATAATGTAAAGCTTATGTTACCAAGCTCATTGCTTCTACCTTTCATTTGGTCATTTGCTAATTTGTAATTATCATATTTTTATTTTATTTTATTTTTGAAGGCCAACAAAGATTTATTTAGCAAAGCAAGAAAAAAATCAGGGAGAATTAAAAAAGTAAAGAGGAACATTTCCTCACAAGCAGGAGGTAGGAACAAGGAGGCTCCTAGTTATTCATATTTATTTTTTCATTTTTTGGTAATATTTCCCTAACTTGTAAAGAAAAATGACAATTCAGTGTTCTTGCGTATGCTTTCTTATTTTTAAAAAGTATATGTTACATAAGTTTTTGTATTTTTCGTTTAATGTGCTACCTGTAACCATTACATGTAACTCAGTGATTGGATCGTCTTAGCACAACATAGAAACCACACATAACACTGGAAACATCTAATCCAATAAATTTACAGCATTCTCTGAACTCTTACCTAATTGGCTGCCTGCCTTTTATGTCATAATCACATCATGCAACAGTAAGCAGTATCTAAAGTTACAGTAGTGAGACTGAGAATTTTTTTCAATCTAAAGTTTTTCTCTTTCTCTCTAATAAAACATCTGAAACTGAAGACATCCTAAGAATTTCTTACAAAAACATGCTGGCTGACAATGGATCTTGTTTTCACCCAGAAGATTTTTCTTTCTTCCTCTTCTTAAACTGATTGTCAACAGATGTGGAAGCCCCATCATTTTGTTGGGTTGGTTCTTAAGTCATTAAGCGAAGAGAGAGATGAATCTCGTTAAGATTGGCCCTTGGCAAAATACCACCGCATCTTCCTGGCTTATGAAACTCAGTTTTCTTTGGCTTTTTAGTCAGAATTGTTGTCAAGCAAGTGCAGTTTGGACTGCTTACATGAACATATCATTTCATGTTGGGAATCGCATATTGTCAGAGTTGGGAGAGACTGGAGTATTTGGAAGAAGCTCCACTTTGAAGAGAATAACAGGAGTTCTAGTGCCACCAGAGGGAAAAACTCAAAATGCATGCAATCCTAATACCAGTTTCCGAAAATCAAAGAACTCAGGGCCGTGGCTTGCACTTATTGAAAGAGGAAGTTGTACCTTCACACAGAAAATTAAGGTGGCAACCGAGAATGGAGCCAGTGGAGTGATCATCTATAACTTTGCAGGAACTGGCAATCAGGTTTTCCCCATGTTTCATAAGGCATTTGAAGATACCGTTGTAGTTATGATTGGTAACTTAAAAGGCATGGAGATTTTGCATTTAATTCAGGAAGGAGTTCATGTTACAGTCGTGGTTGAGGTGGGGAGAAAACACATCATCTGGTTAAATCACTATTTTATCTCCTTTATGATTGTCACAACTGCTATTTTAGCGTATTTCATCTTTTATCATGTTCGAAGACTTTGGGTAGCAAGGACTCAGAATAGGAGATGGCAACGGTTAACAGTAAATCTCAAGAAAGCGTTTGGCCAGCTCCAAGTTCGAGTATTAAAAGAAGGGGATGAAGAATTAAATCCGAGTGGGGATAGCTGTGTAGTTTGCTTTGAACCCTATAAGGTTAATGATATAGTTCGTATTCTGACTTGTAAACATTTTTTCCACAAGAATTGCATTGACCCCTGGATTTTAGCCCATGGGACTTGTCCCATGTGCAAATGTGACATACTAAAAGCTTTGGGGATTCAAGTGAATGTTGAAGATGGAACGGAATCTTTGCAAATTCTCATGTCCAATGAATTGCTTGAAACTGTCTCACCTCGGGAAGAGGAGACAAATAATGAACTTCCACCAGCAGTGACATCAGATAAAGTGAACCATGAGGAGGAGCACCCTACTTCTCCAAATAATGATGACCAGACTAACTTAGTAGTGGAAACTTTTCATTCCTCACCTTGACAGCATGACCTTTGAGGAAGTGGATTAAACCTGTCTGTCAAATCAGGTCCTAGTACTTACACGCAGTTTGTCTGTTTAAAGTGTGTTTTTGTGTCCTTTTCTGCTACTTTGGTAATTTCCTACATGCTATATAAAGCCTCAAAGACAGAAAAAAAGGTCTAATGGGATTTTTTAGTTTAACTTTTGACCTTTGCTAAGTGTAACTTTGTCATTGTATGTTGCTCCTGTGAGTGTGCATATGTTTATTTCTATGTATATATTCATGTTAAATCCTCTAAATATTTTTTGTGTGTATTTTGGGCTTCATTTTGGTAAGAAATAGTTAATGTATTTTCATATTCCTTTCAATACAGAAATAATTAAGTTTGGAAAAATATAAATTATCTTTTATGTGTTAGCAGAGTAAAATTATCTTTTGATAAATACAGTGTAGTATGCTAATTTTGATGTCACTGTGATGTGGATTTTTTGTTCTTGGCATGAAAATTTTGCCATACAGAACTTTATTACTTACTCTTGACAGTTCTGTTCAAATAATTAATAGGTTTTATATGATCTTCATCTGCACAGTAAGAGCAAACTTATTTTCATTTAAAAATTTCTATTATATTATTATTATTGGACTGGGATTACATTGTTGACCTTTACAAAAGTTCTTATAACATGTCATAGTTATGATTATAGTTATCATTTGCCTTTATTCACTCTGACCCCATTCCTGGAGTAGTTTCGACATGTCTCATTTTAGCATTTTTTAGCTGAACAGCAAATATTTCAGTGCGTAATATTACTTATCATTGTTATGTGACCATAGCATATGTAAATTTAAATAAAATAGCATTCCTGTGATGGTATATTTATTTCTCATGTGTTTGCCTCCCTCCCCAATTGACTTTTTTGCCATTAAGTAAAATGTTTTAAATACTTCAGATTATTTGGAAGGTAAGTAGCACAATGTAGAAATGATTGTTATGACACCTGGGATTGTGTCAGTTTTGTTCACTCTGTTCCCAAGGTCTTGCACAATTCTTGTGTTTTTAAATGAATGAGTAAATACTGTAATAAACAAGGTGTTTTTTCATAGTGTATTTTCTTTTCATCTGATAAACTAAGGTGATTTATCCCAGTCCTACAAAAGAATAGAAAGTTAATACTGAGAATTGATTTTCTAAATCATGTTGACAAAATATTAAATTATAATTTTAGCCCAGAATTCACTATTTCAGTTTAGCATGACTCACATAGCAATTTAGTGTAATTTTAATGAAGAGCTTTGAACCCTGACAGGTCAACACTGGTGTGTGAATTAGTGGGCAGTACTAGAGGTAACCTAGTAGAGAGGAACTTTGTGAATTACTCTGGGTAATTCTTGAATTTGGAGACATGTAGAAGAGCAGAAGTTGACTCATCTAAGGCTTGGGAGAATCAGGGCACACCAAACACTGGGCAGGTGGCGAGGTGTGCACAATACTTGGTGCACTCAGGCTTTTTTACACCCAACTCTGCCGAAGCTTGACTGTGTTAATCACACAGCCACTCTTTAAAAGAACTGTACAATACCAGGGACACTGGAGGATTTAGCAGGAGCAGAGGAGTCTTTGGGTAGTCTCTAGAGATTTACCCTGTAATAGTGAAGTCTTTCCATGAGAGGCCAAGGGTCACATTGAAGAGAAAGGACACTGAGGACTATATGAGAGCTACCTTTGGTTGGATCAGCTGTCGTTCTTAGATTATCTGCTGTTGGTATGTCTGGCACTGGAGGCTGGCAGCTTGATGAAGAGGCACAAGTGATTTCCACTGGTTTCCTAAGAGAATTACTAGACTGTGGAAATGAATGTGTCAGGCTTGGAATGTCGCTTAGTGATAGAGCACTTGTCTAGCATGCACAAGGCATCCTGGGTTTGATTCCCAACACCTAAAAAAATGAACTATCACCTAGCAATAAATGTGTCTAGCAGATTCGGCAGTCCCTAAACCCCAGAGTTCTAAGATCACTACAGCTCTTACCAATTTCATGCAGGTGCTTGTTCCCTGGTAGACTTGGAGCTTGAGCAAATTGTTCACTATTAGAATTTTATTGTGCTCTTTCCATCCTTCCTCTACACTCTTGTTAATTTCTTCTTTTCTCCTCTCTCCTTTTTCTTTCCTTTGTTCATCATTGTCAAGCTTAGGCTCCACTTACTCCCATGTGTAAGAAACTCGTATGTGTTTACTTGTATAAGAGATGTGCTTTACTAATACTTATCACAGTGTGCTTGTCTTGATTTGAGAATTTTCAGCAAAAGTCCTTCAAAGGGTGCTTAGAATTGTTTTGGCGATGAGGGAAAGGAGGGTCAAATCAGTGTCATTATTTGGGTACCTACATGAACCAGGCAGTTGGACTAATGTAGCTGTTTCTCATATTTCAGAACAAAACAGCAACTTTAATCCTCGTCTTTATAATGTTGTAAACAGATCAATAAACTACTTTTACTCTGGGTTTGATAACCAGAATCTGGAAACAGCACTGCTATGTCAGATGTTGTTAGGGAATGTTTATTATGCTTGTTATTTTCCTAATCGGTGGCCTATGCCATTGTCTGTTGTAACGATATATTTTGCCATAATGGCATGGGACTATAATGTGAATTATTTCGTCTCTACTACCAAACCATAGTGGGTTACCCTTGCACTTCTCCTTTTATGATTTTTCATTATCCAGTAATAAAAGTTTGATTTCCTACCACCTAATAAGTATGGGACTGCTGTTCTTTATGAAAATTAAGCTAGCTTTTTATTTTAATCATCACTAGGATAAATTATGTTTACTATTTTACTAAGGTGAAAAATATTCCACCACACTTTACTTGTGATTGATGCTGGAGATGAAATTATTCTATCTACGTGGTTCTTCTTATAAGATACACTACAGTGATAATATACTTGTTTCTTGTTATAAAATTGTTATTGTGTAATTACCCTGTAATGAACTATTGGTCAACTATTATTTGAAGTAATGTTAGTCCTTCAAAGTATTTAATGAGCCAGGAATCTGGCTTTTCCCCTGGGATTGAAGCTTCCTTCAATTGTGTAAAGTGGTCTCTCACTGCCCAGACTTTAACTGGATTTTGAAGGGATGGGCAGGAATCAAGTGTGGGAAGAGCAAGATCCTAAATTGGGGAAATATTGAAGACAAAGAGGAAGTCTTCACAGGTGGTTCTGTGAAGACATCATTTTGATGGTAATTCTACCTTTCCATTCCATTGTTTACCATAAAAACCTCTTATATTTTAAAAATATATGTTTCTTTGGATTTTCATTTACTGAATTTTTTTTTAGTTTTTTTTTTGTGATAAAAAATTAAGAGTTATAGGTTACACATTTACCATCATAGTAATATCTTAAAATACCTAGTTGGTTTTCTAAAAAGCGAGAACTTTTTGGGGGAGTGAGGAGGGTTAATGTACTTTAACTTTAGAAAAGCAAATGTTCTGCTCCCCCCACAGGTGTTGGAGTTGTTCCCTCACAATTTGTCCTGTAACCTCTCTTCTGTAGCCACACCCCAGCTTATAATGCCTTTCTCTCCAGTTGTCATACATTCTTTGACATAACTTCAAGATGCTGTGTCTTGATGATTTTAGCAGCATTGATGACCAGGGCTTCTCTGACTTAAAACTTCTCCACACTTAGAATTTTCATCTCTAATGATGTAGCACACTGTTGTCACACATCAGTCAGGTCTGTCATCTTTGTAAAACTACTACCTTAGATCATTTTTCTGCATTCACTCTCTGAATTTGCTTGAATTTTCTTCTTCACTTCTTCAGACTTGCTTTTTACTCTCATTTCCAAGCAGCTTTTTTTAGCTATTCATTTTTTCCCCCTTTGGTGAAAAACCAGTTGTAATAGTCTACCAAGTGGCAGTGAATTTTCCCCCTCAAACTGCGTTCATAGTATCATTTGCCTAATCTTAATCATCTCTTTAGTATGGTTCCCATATTTCTGTTGCACAGCAGTCACTTATTCAAGTTGCAGTCCTGTTATCTTCTTTCAACCAGATCTTTACTTCTGTTTAAAAATCCTTTATTAATCTTTTCTAACTCTCTTTTATATTACATGTACAGCCGTACTTCTAAATCTTAGCTGCACAAAAGGATCACCTGAAGAGTATTTTAAAATCTCAGTGTCAGGACGATACTTAAGTGCTCTGGTGTGGGACCTGGCCATCAGTCTTTACAGTTGTCCAGGAGATGCTGATGCACACAAGCTTAAGAACCATTACACAGGACTCTAGCAAAGAGCCTTTATGCTAATCAACTCCATAATTTCACCTTGTTCACTTCAATATGACTTGTTTTCATTTATGTAGAAATCAAAATACAAGGTAGAAAGGGTTAAATTTCATGGAGAGGAATTGATAAAGACTTCTGGGAGCCTGAAGGGATAGATTTCAGCTGGAAAAATAAGATATATGTAAGGAAGTAACATTTGAGTTGGAGCTACTTCTGGCTTGGAAAGATGATTTTTGTATAGTGAACAGTGTTTTATAATGTAGCTTTGGGTGTCCTGTGCAATTTTTGTTAAGTAACTTAAAAAGGAAGATAAGACATGCAAGAGACTGTTCCAATAAGTAACAAGATAAAAATAGAGACTAAGGCAGTGGTAGATGCACAAGTTGGGTCATCTCCAAGATAATATGTTCCTTGATTATTTTATTTGCTGGTAAGAATTTTCTGCTTCACTTTTTAATGACCAGATTAAAACTTTAATGACTTGATTTAAAAACTTTTCTCTACCTATAACCTGTGTCTTCCATTCATCTCCAATTTAGCAGCAACCGTAGATATAGAAAAGGTAGCTATGAGGCAGGAGTAATTGAGGAAGGGTGAAAAGCCAAGAGTGAATGCTCAACTTCTGACTTGGGCCACTAGGTTATAATATCATTCACAGAAATAGAAAAATAATAGACAAAGCAAAATTGAGGTAAAAGAGTTCAAATTTTGAGAAAACTTGAAGAAACCATAGAACTTCTAGATGATGTTCAATAAACAGCTGAAAATTTAGTCCTATATTAATTAAATGAAATATATCTAGAAATTAAAAGATTGATGTATAATTAAGTGCTAAATTGTGATTTACAAGCAAAAATTGCTCA